GAAAATAATGATTGCAAGTTTAGAAGAGTGAGGTTAGTGTATAAGATGCCTGTCATGAAACTCTGCCTGCCCACTACAGGTTGGCCCGAGATTTGTCTCTATTTCTAGCAGTCAGCGTGACGAAGGGCACGTAATCAGTGGTAAGACTGATAGTGTAAATGTAGTATATATTACAACAAAACAAAACACCGCCACAGCAGTGACGAAGTGCTCCCTGGTCTTGATATTGACACCTGAGAGAGAGTTCTGTGGGGCTTTATGCCTTCACTGGTGACAATATCCTTGACTTCCCTGAACCTTGGATTCTTTGCTTGTACAGTGTGGATAATAGCAGTATTTAATTCAGGCAGTTTTGAGGACTGCATGAAGTAATCGATATGAGACTTAGCCAGAAGCTGGCATGTTTGTAAGTACCCAATAAATGGTTTCTATCATCTTATGTACTGTAAACACAGCACCATGTTTCCTAAAGGCGCCAATAGATCTGTCTTGCAGGTAGAGGCATATGTTGTTAAGCACCCAGTCCTCCAGACGGGTTTGCCCCTGGTAAACCCCATTTCTGGTTTGATGGGTTTAATTTTACAAAGTCTTAAATACTCCTTGGTAGCAAAGTGGGTGTCTGTGAAAGCCCACTGGGATGACTCCCGGGTGGTGAGGGGCAAAGGTGCCCTGGTGGCCTGCACGCACGACAGCAACTATCAGTGACGTCAGTTTAGAAATATCTGAGGCATTCGGAGAACAGCACACAATAGCTTCACAGCACTTCATCTTGCAGCCGAGGTGGAGCAGGTGAGCATGGGGCGGGCCAAGGATCACCTGGCTAATTTCTGACATCCAGAGATAACCCTGAAAACCATGTTTACTTCCCAGTAATGCTGGCTGTGGGGTGGATTCTGAGATATTCCCGAGACATGTAGAGTTTCTGGGGAATTTGTACCATCTGTCTGAGAAAGGCATGCGGGGTATGTATTTGAACATATGAAACCAAGGCCACTGCCAAGTCAAGGACTGGGTGCTCTTTGACTCACACCTAAATTCTAGTAATTTTACTCTACAAAATTTTGAGGAGCAAGAACGGAGCCTTTATTTTAATAACATTTTAAATAATCGCCTTTTCCCTATGAGTTATTGTTATTTTAAAATGTTTCCTTCTTTTTACACTATCTTTGGAAACATTTTTAGAGAGAAGTGTGTGTGCGTGTGTGTGTGTGTGTGTGTGTGTGTGTGTGTGTGTGTGTGTTTAACCTAAAATTTCCTGGTAAGTTTAGCAGATAACTGTCCTTGATTCTTTGAGTGTCTTACTGTTTTGTAGACGCTTGCTGGGTAGGAAAGCTTGTCTGTCACGTTTCTCATTTTCATTTTACATGTAAATTTATGGCTTTTCTGAGAATTTGCTGTTTTTTTTTTTTTTTTTTTTTTTTTTGTTTGTTGTTGTTAACCCTTACCTGATGATGTCTTCCCATTGATTGTTAGAGAAAGTAGAAGGGAGAGAGACAGAGAAACATCAATGTGAGAGAGATACATGGATTGGTTGCCTCCTGCATGCACTCTGACCAGGGCCAGGGAACCTGCAACCAAGTACGTGCCCTTGACAGGAACGGAACCTGGGACCCTTCAGTCTGCAGGCTGACACTCTATCCACGGAGCCACACTGGCTAGGGCTTTGAGAGTTGTCATTTTGAAAATAGCCATCCATCTTCAGGATTTATCTCTGAGACAAGTACAGACATTCCAATGAAAATAAATACTTAGATCCACCCACAGTAATCTTATCAACAATAGCCTGTTTCCATCAGCGATGCTGCTTCTATGGACCCTAAAGACAGGTATTCTGTGGGGGTGGTAAGAATGTTTATGTTCCAGCTCATTCTCCTTCTGGCATTTTTGTTACTGAGCACATCCAGCTTAGGAAGTATGTGGTCCTCCCCTTGAGAAAGCATGCCTAGCCCCCCTCCCCCCCATCAAAGCAAGGCTGTCCTTACCCTCTTCTCAAAGAAGCTGAGGTGGAGAGAGGCCAGGAAGTAGTTGATGAAACACAGGCGCTGCCCCTGAGTTCCTAAAGGTTTGCCTCACCTCGGGACCATGCTCCTTTGCCTCTGTCTGAACACAAGTCAGAGTGGGAAGTTTCAGGCACCAGTAATGTGCGAGAGGAAAGGAAGATGCTTTGAGGTTTGGATCGCTCAGCTCAGGGCCATGACTTCCTCTGGCCACTCTTGGAAAGGCGGACCTTCCTCACTCAGGGGATATGGGCTTTTACTGTGCTGTGCGGATCCCCACAAACAGTTCATAGCCTTGTGGGTGCCAGAGCGCTGTAGTTTCTCAGAGGCCACCACTGAGACCACCAAACGTGCCTAAGTGGCCATACGGGATGGAGTGACAGCCCAGAGTAACTGCAAATGGTCAGGAGGGGTCTTTTTTTTAGAATTGGTGGAAATGTTCTCAAATTGGATAATGGTGATGGCTGCACAACTCTGTAAACATACGAAAAATCACTGGATTGTATTCTTCCAACATGTGAGTTTTATGACATGTACATTATACCTCAATAAAGCGGATAATAAAAATGCCTGAAATTTGGGCTGTCTTGAAAGGAACCATGTTTCTGAGCCAGTACACCTGTCCGAAAGTGTGTCACAGAGTGGGTGGGGAGGCATCTGAGGCAGGCGCTGGAGGAAATGGGACCAGCAGAATCTTACTCATGAGCCAGGGAGGAGGCCTGGGATCGAAATGGGAATAAAATGGCACTGTTTTTGCCCTGACCGGTTTGGCTCAGTGGATGGAGCATCGGCCTGTAGACTGGAGGGTCCCAGGTTTGATTCCAGTCTAGGGCATGTACCTTGGTTTCGGGCACATCCCCGGTGGGGGGTGTGCAGGAGGCAGCTGATCGATGTTTCTAACTCTCTATCCCTCTCCCTTCCTCTCTGTAAAAATCAATAAAAATATATTTTAAAAAAAGGCACCGTTTTTATGGTGATGACAACTCAAATTAGGTTCCAGAATGTAAGTACATTGCTCCCTTTGAAAGCTCACTTTTGAATAGCTCCAAATCTTTCATTTGGTGAACAACAGCAACACTTTATAGCCAGAAATCTTACCTTGAAGTTGTTATCAGCTCAAATAAGAGTGTCTTGTCAATGATTCATCAGGTGTACTATACAGATTTGTATAAATAGATTACCAAATGTTTCTGAATGGCATCAATATAACTAATGTAGCTTAACTGCCATTTTCTTCTTGCTTGTCGTTATGTAGTAGGAAGTAGATAATAGTTAATGTGACAGGTTTTAAAAAAATTTTTCAACTTACCTTTTTTATGGTGTTTTCCGAATTCCGGAATGACGGCGACTAAGCTTTCAGTGTTTGCTTGACTCAAGAAATCGGTTGGCTTTGCTTACATATATTGTGTGAAACTTCAGATAAAGCGGCAGGACTCCCTCTGTAACTGGAGCGCAGGAAACAATTGACACTGTTACTTAATTCACATTGTTTCTGAGACATTTCCTACTTTCCCATGAGAACAATTTGCTTGCAGATGGTGAGACATGATACATTTCTCCTTGGTACCGGTTCTGTGAGGAGAATTTCATGGCGCTTTGTAGTAGTTGAGTTAGTATGTGTGTCTGTGTGTTTGGGTGTGTGTGTTGCTGGGGGCAGGTTCATGCTTTATACATGTAGATGCCTCCAACTTCATTCCAGGTAGCAAATGTTTTCCTTTGAATGCTAGCCCATTCACTCCGGGTTCTACACTCCTTAGTTGGAACCTCTTTCTTGAAGGAGCATATGATTGTTTTAATCCTTACAGTTTAAGGAAACACCCCTGTGAATTATGGTGTTTGAAGATATGCCGAATGAGTTACTGGGGAAAGTGGTTCACAGCAGTTTACCTCAGCCCTACTGCATGTTCAGGTATTTCATACCTGTAGGTGTGTGTGATGTTGTCTGGGGCACGGCAAAGTGGTCATCAAGGAATGATTCCAGAATGGGAGAGCAAATCCATACATGAGATACTCTAATTAGAAGTTTAAAAAACCAAAGTTTTTGCATTACTTCCGAAAATAGTGGTTCCCACATCCAGGAATTATGTGGGATATAAAGTGAAAGTAAAAGTTTCCCAATTAAAAAAAATAAAGGACATGGAACGTTGATTTCCCTTTTTTCTGTCTTATCAGATTTTGTTAAAATAATACCGCTTGTCAGTTTTGCAGCTCCATCCATCCAGGGAGCTGAAAGCGCTTCACAATCTTTTCTCCTCATGCCCTTCTCTTCAAGGCAATTTTGGCTGGGCTGGGTTTATTTTTATCATTGCAACGACCAGTTTTTAGAAACTTTTGCAAACGAAAAAGAAAAATGAGAATGGCACTGTAGCTGACATTCATTTCAGCTGCTGCCTCGTGTGAACATTTGAGTATTTCTAAAATCTTCTCTCCAACCATGTTGTATGTCTTATTTTTTTCTCAGCTTGTCCCAGTTCTAAGTGTCTATTCTGCTGATTGGGTAAAAAAATAATAATAAAAAAAGTTTTAGTGTAAAGCCTTATCCCAGCAGAATGACTTCTTGAACTCTGAGTTAGATCTTTATTTTTTGTAGCCTCAAGAGCTCCTTTTTGATCATCCTGTTGGGTATAATCACAGACTCAGGGAGGTTAGCACTGGAAGGGCCTCTGGGGTTGCTCAAGGTAAGTCTGTCATTATACAAATGATGAGCTTGAGGCCCAGAATGGTTAAGGGACTCAAGGTCGTAGAGGTCATTGATGGCAGAGGTCTGCCTAGAATCAAGGATTTCCAGTGTGGTATTCCTTTGGCTCTCCTAAATAAAAACTCACCTATCTGGATAGAAACTAGAGGATACCCTCACAGAATCTTAGGGCCCACCAGCAGGTTGAACGACAGTAATGTTGAATTCATAGACTTTTTTTTTTGGTGGGGGATCTGTGGATTTTGTGCAGTTGATATGCAGCACAGAATGTGGTTTCAAATGGTGATTTGTGTACCTTCCTTTAGGCCACCACACCATCTACATTGGGGTCCATGTGCCGAAGAGCTACAGGAGAAGGAGACGGCACAAGAGAAAGACGGGACACAAAGAAAAGAAGGAAAAGGAAAGAGTCTCTGAGAACTACTCAGACAAGTCTGACGTGGAAAACGCCGATGAGTCCGGCAGCAGCATCCTCAAGCCGCTCAGTGAGTACTCCGTGGGCATGGCCGCCTCTCTGCCTCACTCCTGCGGCCCCGGGAAAGGCACTTTTTAGGATCTTGTGGCTAATGCGAGGGGTGCAATCATAAGGAGGTGGCCTCCTCTAAAGGGTCATGTCTGTGGAGATGCTTTTCTTGTCCTAGCAGGTTGTTCTAGAAGGCGATCTGAGTTGGTTGGAGAATATTTGACAAAGGTTAGGCATGGTTGTGTATCTTACATTTTGACTAGTGAAATAGGGCAGAGCATTAAAGATGGCATTTGACTACAGTAATCAACAGGAACTGAAAGGTTCTTAAAGAAATTATTGGATCATTTCTGCTTAGAAATAGCTTCCATTGAGACAGTAGGTCAAGATGGAAATTATATATTTATAATATATATAATATATATATTATATGTTACTTATAGGGTTCTAAGTGATATTTAACCAGGTCATGGGTTGGGCTGGTAATTTAAAAAGGAACAGTGGAAAAGCATCCTGTAAGTCATAGAAGAATGTAGAGTGGAGTGGCATAGCTCTTGAAATGTCGAACATATTAGATATCGTACTTTGGACAGAAGTGTTACTAAGAACAGAATAACAGGAGGTCAAAGAACACCCTTGGATTCAAGTCATGGGAGGACTGTGTGTTTAGGTGCATGTGAATGTTGCTTTTGTTTCTTTGTATGTGGGGAATATTTGGCTCTCTGGGTAGCTGTGTCTGAAGCGAGAATGAGTATGTGCAGTAGAAGCGAGAAGCAGTAGAAACACGTGCCAATTTGGGGAGATTCCCCAACAGGAGTTCCGTAGTGACAGCTTTTCACATTGGCAGAGCTCTGTTCATTCTTCATCTCTTTGCTACAGTGGCAGAAATATGGAACCTGTAATAAAATGCATTAGGGTGGCATGGATGCAGATCCAGTTCTGTCACTGCAGGTGACGAGAAGCCAAATTGGAATGAACAGCTGAGGAGTGTTGAAAAGTGAGTTTATGGAGTTAAATTGAAGAGGGTGTGAAGTGCAGTGATGTGAATCTGTGAATTTGTTAAAGTCTCACTACTGGAACTGAGCAGGTGGCTTGAAGCTATAGAGGCACCTGCTGAGAGGAGCAGTGCAGGTGGACCTCCTAAGTAAAGACAGACGTCCTGAGGAGAGTTTGGAGATGGACCACCACGTTACAACTTAAGGTGCTGGAATAAATGTGAGACTTAGGCGGGACCAGAGGACAAAAGACAAGAGTTATGCACTTTTCATTGGAATATTGGGAATCTGAAGGGAATCCTTCATATATTGGCTAAAAACATCTAAAGACGAAAAAACATGGGGACTGTTTCAAGTACAGTCCTTGAAATGCTGATAAAAAAGGTCACAGTTAATAGTGTGGAGGAACAAAAGATAACATCCCTTTCCAAATAAATTACTGCTGTCTATCTGGATTTGCTATCTGTTTCGGCAAGGCCTGAGCCCGAATCACAGATACTCTCCCCAGTGTGTGTGTGTGTGTGTGTGTGTGTGTGTGTGTGTGTGTATGTGTGATCTCTCTTTCTGTCTCTCTCCAAGTCACTTCCCATTCTGCAATTTAAGAACAAGAGTACATCATCACTATACATAATAAAAAGGGAGAGATGCTCTCTTAGACAAATGGGCCAAGGAATTTTGAGATGATAATTATGTACCAGCTTTGTAAAGGAAAGGCAATGGAACAATGCCAGTAATACTCAAGTCAGTAATAGGGGATGAACTGATCAGAAAGGTAGTGAGTATCAGTATGTGTCTACCATGGGCGTACTGTTGCTTTCTGTGGCATCTGGGGACTAGTTTTGAGTACAGCATGTACGATAAGCAAGGTGTTCATTCTCGTTAGCCTCAGGTCTCCTTTCTGGGGAGTATTACATTATGTTGTATGCCTGGTTTCTGAAGGGATTATATGGAGAGACCATTGTTAAGGACTGAATTGTTCAGAGATCATCATAAAATTATTTATGAATTTGCATTTTACAGTTAGTTATTTTCCTGCTAGTTTATAAGTTATGCACCATTCAATTCGGCATGAAGGTTCTCTTAGAAAGCATCATATATTCCAGTAGTTCTCAACCTTCTGGCTCTTTAAATACAGTTCCTCATGTTGTGACCCAACCATAAAATTATTTTCGTTGCGACTTCATAACTGTAATGTTGCTACTGTTATGAATCGTAATGTAAATATCTGATATGCAGGATGGCCTTAGGCGACCTCTGTGAAAGGGTCGTTCGACCCCCAAAGGGGTCGCGACCCACAGGTTGAGAACCACTGGTGTATTCTCTCCACTGCTTATTGTGGAGACTAGATGGACTGGTAGCTGGTTAATCTGGTGCAGTTCTATTTAAGATGTTACACTCATGTATCGAATGACATTTAACCCTATGATTTGGGGAAGCTATAGGGCACTGGCACCAATATGACAATAACATTCTTTTATGGGAAAACTCATTTACTGCAATATCTGCCTAGCGGTATGCCATTATTGGTTCTCAAGAACAGCCACACACAGTTTCTGTTATTGTTAGGTCTAGGCTTTTGGAGATACTTATGTCTATAAAGTACCACAGCCCATAGACAAGATTCTTTTTTCCACCGCATTTAATATTTTTTATTATTTATTTATTGTCTAAAGTTTTACATATGTCTCCTTTTTCCCTGATTGACCCCCTCCCCCCCCCAGCCATTCCCACCCCGGGCAAGCCCTCACCAACCCAGTGTCTGTGTCCATTGGTTATGCTAATATGCATGCATATAAGTCCTTTGGTTGCTCTGTAACCCCCCCTCCCCACCTCACCTGCCATTTGTCTCTGGATCTATTTTTGTTCATCAAATCATGTTGATCATTATATCCCACACATGAGTGAGATCATGTGATATTTATCTTTCTCCGACTGATTTATTTTGCTTAGCATAATGCTCTCCAGTTCCACCATGCTGCTGCGAATGGTAAAAGCTCCTCCTTTTAAAAAAAATTATTTTTTACAGAGGAAGGGGGAGGGATAGAGAGTTAGAAACATCGATGAGAGAGAAACATTGATCAGCTGCCTCCTGCATACCCTCTACTGGGGATGTGCCTGTAACCAAGGTACATGCCCTTGACCGGAATCGAACTTGGGAACCTTCAGTCCACAGGCCGATACTCTATCCACTGAGCCAAACCGGTTAGGGAAAATTCCTTTTTTAGAGCAGCATAGTATTCCATTGTGTAGATGTACCACAGTTTTTTAATCCACTCCTCTGCTGATGGGCACTTAGGCTGTTTCCAAATCTCAGCTATGGTAAATTGTGCTGCTATGAACATAGACACGATTCTTGCATGGGCCTGACATTGCGTCAGGCGAGGCTTCTATTATTGAAAGTACGCCACATATAAGCAAGCAACTCGATGAGAATCATCTCTGATTCTTTCCTTGATGTCACCCACATATACAATCCAGCAATGACTTTTGTTGGTTCTACTTCTAAAATATGCCTGGATCTGTCTGCCCCTGAGCAGTGTGGCTGCCACATTTGGGGCCAGGGAATTGTCATCTCTTACATAAACAACTGCAACAGGCTCCACTGTTCAAGTCTCCTTCCACCCAGAGGCAACAGGGGTCATCGTAAAGTGTGGATCGAGCCGTGCCATTCCTGCGCTGAAAACCTCCTGTTGTCCTTAGAAGAAAATCTCGATTGGGCAGCACGGCCCATGGTGTCTCACCACGCGTGCTCCGGTCATTCTGTCCGTGCTCTCTGTTCTTCAGCCACACTCAATCTTCAGCTTCTTGGTGTCCAAACCTTTTCTGCTTCAGGGCCTGTGCACATGTAATCCTGTCTGTTTGGAATAGTCATCCCAGTTCTGTCCTGGTTAGCTTTTCTCCTGCGTTATATTCCAGCTTGAAGATTTTGTGTCATCTGGGAGGCCTTTCCTTCCTACTCTACAGGGTGGGGAGAAAGTCGGCTTACAGCTGTGAGTCCTGAATATTGTTTATTACTTAGTGCATTATTTTCCGTCAACCTACTTTTGCCCCACCCTGTATAATGTGTGTTCTCCAGTGTTGTTCTTTCTCAGCTTTTTGTTTCCTTAATGATATATGTTTTAACTTTCAGTTTTTCGAGCCTATAGTTTTGTCTGGTGCTGATGCTAGCTTATGAGCTCCGGGAGCGCGAGGATCAGATTTGTCTTGTCATTGTTTTCTCTGGCACCTAGCACAGTGTCTGACATGTGGTATATGCTTCATAAATGCTGACTGAAGAGTAACTGAGGGGATGGATTACTACAGGTGAATACATAAGCACTGCTTTTATTTATCTAAATACTTTCTACATTATAGATAATGGGTCAGCTGATTTTCTTATTTTTAATTCTTGCAAATTATTTTCATATTTCCTTGCACTGTCTTTCTCCTTTGCCATGGAAATCTCTTCTAAACTTTTGATGATGCTACTTTGGGAAGTGCCTCATTATTTTATTTTATTTTTTTAAAATATTTTTTATTGATTTTTTACAGAGAGGAAGGGAGAGTGATAGAGAGTTAGAAATATTGATGAGAGAGAAACATCGATCAGCTGCCTCCTGCACACTCTCTGCTGGGGATGTGCGCGCCACCAAGGTACATGCCCTTGACTGGAATCGAACCTGGGACCCTTGAGTCCGCAGGCTGACGCTCTCTTCACTGAGCCAAACCGGTTAGGACTCATTATTTTAACTATTGCTAACAAGGTATTGTGGCCTGGGTAGGGGGCCCCTGAGTGTGCTGAGCTGCTTGTCACACACAGGTGATGGGAGAAACTGATCCACAGGGCACATGGATTCCTCACACACACTTGAAGATGCTCACTACTCCACACCAAACGTGGGCTGCTCAGCTTCAGAGGCCATCGTCCAGAGGCATGGACTCGGATAGTAATGGGCATCTAAAAGAAGAAATAAGCCAAATATTTAGGCACGTTAGGAAGATGACATTAGTGGTTTCATTTAGCTGATGTCACAGGTGCTTTTGCTTT